TCCACGGACACCTCGGTGCTCGAGGGGATCCAGGGGTGCGCGTCCTCCATCTGGATGAACTCGCCGATGTTGACGATGAGCATGTTCTCGAAGTCCTGGTCGTCCTGGTGGAGATCCTTGTAGCCGTATCTGAGAATGCACCTGTACATCCGGTACTCCTTGGGCCCGATCCTGCCGATGAGATACCGCTCCTGCGGTGGGACGTGAGGCACTGGCACGGACTTGATGCAGACGAAGACGAGGACTTGGTGAAACGCCGGGAGGTTTGTGACGAAGTGTGAGAAGATGGCGGGGACGCCGGTCACCAGCTCTGTGTATATCAGGCCTATTCCAGGAACTCGGACGATGCCAAGGCTCGGGCCCAGCGTGAGCAGCCACTTCATGGAGACTTTGTTTTGCAAGTCGAACTCGTACTTCTTGGAGGTGCCGTAGTGCCATATGTACATGACCGCCATGAATATCACCGCGAGGACCAACGGGACCCAGCCTCCTTCCCTGACTTTGATCAGTGCCGCTGATATGTAAAATGCCTCGATGGAGCCAAAGAAAAGGAGAAACGCAGCTGCCAGGAAGATGCTCTTCCTCCATACCATGACGATCACCAGTGACATGAGAAAAGTGGTGACGAACATAACCGTGACAACGGCCAAACCTGAAAGGACAAAGATCAATCACGCATTGCAAGTGAACTGGAAACACACCATACCATATGCGTGGCCGATGAGGATTGTATTCCTGAATCCGAGTGTCACGGCAAGGCAGAGAAGCAGGAGCATCCAGTTGACTTCGGGAATGTAAATCTGCCCGTAAATATCTTTGGATGTGTGGACAACTTTCACTCGTGGAAAGCAACCCAGAGATAGGCACTGCTTGATAATCGAGAAGGTTGCAGAAATGACTGCCTGGCTCCCAACAATGGACGCGAGCGTGGCAATGACGAAAACTGGCCAGTACACAGTTTCTGAAGAGATTGTCAAGGCATTAGACCACAAAGCACGTTTCAAAATTTTCTTACTCGGTATGGATTTGTAGAAACTCTTCAAAATGTCATCGTGATTCTTGGAGAGATACGCCGCTTGTCCCATGTAGGCAAGAACAAGACAAGGATAGACTACACACGTGAACGCAATCTACGAAAATCGTGTGCCGTCAGGAAAAAGCACAGCATTCATACATCTCCAAACAAAAGTACCTTGACAGAGAGCTTGGAAAAGTGTCCCAAATCAGCAAACATCGCTTCCGTTCCTGAAAAGAACAGGAATTAAAAACACTCACTGGTGAGGCGGAGTGATGGTAAAGTGATGCGAAGCTTACCTGTGATACACAAGAGAATGCCCCCCAGAGAAGTCCAGCCTTCCACGCCCGTCTTTCGTAAAAAGTTGTACATGTAGTAAGGTGACAGAGCTCGAAAGATTCCGGGATTCCAGGCTGCGATGTTATAAACACCGATTGCCGCAATACAGAACAGCCACGCTATCACGATGGGTGCGAAAATGAAGGCAACTCTATGCGTCCCAAAGTGCTGCAGCGCAAACAGCCCGATCAATATCAAGCACGCAATAATGTGGACCACGTCTGCAAAAGGACCCAAGACAATCGTGAGTGGCAAGTTGTGCGAGAGGGAATTCTACAAAGGAGAATTTTCGACGTACGTTCATGGTGCTCGGTTTCTGTAGAATTGATTCCGGAAACAGCGGAAAGAACTGGAAAACAAAAGGAAAAAACAGTCAGCGTACGGCTTTGACAACGTTTTACGAAGGCCGGACCTGATATAGGTGGTGTAAGAACTCCATCGCCAATGACCATACACGTCCCGAGGAGGACTATCGCAAGAAGACTAATTCGAAGATGTCTGTGCCTCTCGAGGAAAGCTTTGAATGGAACGCCTCCAGACTTTCTGTTGGTGCGCCCTCCTTCCAGCTTGTAGGTGGATAAATCCTCGTCCGCGGGCTGCTGGTTTGGTAAAAGGCTTAGCTTGGCATGGCGGCACAAGAGCGAATACAAGGCGAAAGTGCCACCTGATAACACAGACAAAGAACTTTAAAGTTAGACTAGCCACGAAGAAGGAACGCTAAGAAAAAGAAGAAAAAAAACATGGAAAAAGCGAGCGAGAGAGCAAAGCTAACCTTCCCCATTGTCATCGGCATTCATGACTATGAGAACATACTTGATGAACGGTAACAGCGTGAGCGTGTAGATGATGAAGGAGAGAACGCCCAAAATCTCCTCATCATTCTCGTTGAGCCGCAATTTCCCGGAGAAGGTACTCCGATAAACGTACAGCGGGGACACGCTAAGATCGCCATACACCACTCCAAAGCTCTGGTATGTCAGGCACAAGAGCGCTCTCAGCGAATTCCCCTTCACGGCTTGCTGCAAACCAGAGATAGACAATGGAGAGATTTACTCCCACAAATCGATCGAGCGGCCACACGAACCTTGTAATTCGTTTGCAGCGTCGTCCCTCCCGCCGACGCCCCGGGAGCCGACGTCGCAGACTCCGGATCCAGACCCGCCGTCGACATCTCCCCCCTCGAATCGCTAGCGCCGCCCCCGCACCGTACGCTGCCGCATTGCGCCGCGCCGCCGCATCTATGCCTCCCAAGATCGAGCTCCCGCCGCGAGGGATCGCGAATGACGAAACCCTTGACCTATAATCTTGGATGAGAAGAAGAAAGGCGCCACTGGAGAAGCACGCACAACACTCCCTCCACTCTCTAGCTAAAACTCACATAAACATCGTGAGGTACTTTAGGGTTTTGTGTTAATAAACAGTAAAGCGATTAAAGAACACGTGTAAAACAGGGTAGGTTAACAGCTGTAAGAAAACCTGTTTAACCCGGGGTAGAATATGCTCCCTGGGATGATCGTGGCCGTCCACGTTGGACCGCCCATAAGTTATTTTACCTGGGACCTACTTTGACCACCCAAATCTAATTGCTGTGACCCACTCGATCCAATCGAGATGCCCTCTTTTCCTTTTAGCTTTGTGGAGAATCATCGTGATCTGGAACAATTGTGCTAGTTCGTGCGTATAAGCGTGATAAATTTTGGGGTTTCTTACGTTACCTCAAAAGTTTTGGGGGTCGTGTATCCCTATTGACAATCCAATCGTATCCGCGGAAGCGGATGAATGGATCCATTGATGCAGACTTATAGTTAGCCACCTTTCACACTGGCGGTGATCGCGCGTCTGGAGAATCGCCCAAGCGTAAACATCCATCCTCGTCAGCACAGCACAACATATGTCACATTTCAGTTTGACCACGTGTTCACTACATCGAGAAAAAAATTTCAATCTTTACAAACCTTGGAGTGTCCTGTCGAGAAAAAATTTACAATCTTTACAACCTTGGAGTGTCCTGTCGAGAAAAAATTTTCAGTCTTGACAAGCTTGGAGTGTCCTGTCAATCCCATAGACGGACTTTGCCTCTCTTTACTTTTTCTCGTTACTTGCATGCTTTTGTAGTGCCTTTTAGACCATATTAGCGAAGTCAAGAATCGGTAGTTGCGTGATCCTTTTCCAAGACCATAGACTTGTATTTTAATAAGGTTCTATCAAATTAAAATGCAGCACGACTCATAAAAATTAAAATGCTACAGTAGACATTAACCTATTAAACGTGAACCATAACAAGAGGTTGAGTGTTTCAATATCAAAACAAAGTCTGGATGAAACATTGTTAGACAAAAAACTCATCTCCTTTGCATCACTGTAATTATCTTGTAGTTAAAGTGTTTCTTACTAATGAAAGTTAATTACCGTGGGAGTATAATCGCTAGAATCAAAGAGATGAGGCTCCTGTTGAAGATTTTGAACTTCAGGAAAACCAACTTGAGGCTCGTGACTCATAGGATTCAAGTGATCTCCCATAAATAAAGCTTGATGTTGTTCGTCCCTGATTTAACAAAAATTAGGCCACCAAATGAGAATAAACAAATTTATTACCTAAAAAGACTTAAATTCATGTCAGGGTGCAATTTATTGTAGTCAAGGATCTGAAGTAAAAAAGAGAAAAAAGAGATAAACATAATTGCAAATTATTTTAAATTATAATACCTTGAGCAAGCTAGCCTTCTCCATAACAGTTTGTATGTGGAGCTCCATTTGATGTAGCTCTTCATAATTTAAAGAATCCAAGCTAGCACAATCACCTTGAAACAACCTTAAAACAAACATGATATAATCTTATTAATAAGAATTTCAAAGTTCAAACAAACCTTAAATGATTTTGAAGTATTTGGTTTTCTTGTTGCAATCTTGCTAGCTCCTTCTGTAAAACCTAAAATATATATGAATAGATACATGAGACTAAATTTCTTACCTCAATGTCTTCAAATCCCATCCCTCTACTTAATCAACAACAGATTAAAACATTTTGAACGTGAATTGAGAAATTAAAATCATACCTCGCAATTTCATTGTCTCCCTTCAGCTTCCGTATCCCTCTGTTCAATTGCTGTTTTAAAAAATGTTTAGACATCTAAAATACGAGCAAAATAAAAATTCCACCTCCAGATTTTCCTTCTTCCTGAAAAATAAAAATGCATGTTATCATAGATGTATTAAAAAGCAAAGCAGCCGTACCTTTTGATCCTTTCAGCAAGAGGTACATTCGCATAACGCATGATAATCTCCTGAATCCTGCAAATTTCGATCAAAACAAAGCACAAGAAAAGAAAGAAAGATACCATACTTCAAATCACTTGGATAGTGGATGAGATGATCCACAGGAGAGAACATTATCAAAGCAATGTCTATATCACACAAAGTGGCCAATTCCTGTGCTTTTTTCACCAATCCAATCTTTCTCTTTGCAAAAGTAGCATGCCTGCTGACACTATTCTCTATTCTCTTTATCTCTAATTTCACTCTCCCCATTATCCCCAAAACCCCAAAAGAAAGCTTTCGAATCAAAGAGCATTAAAAGGCGCATTAACTTAACAAAATGCTTAAATTTAGATAATGGTGTTTACTACCTAAATTAAGCAATCTAGAACAAATGGCGCCTATGTTCTTGGTGTTACTCCTGGGAATCTCTGCGACATTGGTAAGCATTCTTCCTCCTGATTGTCACTCTCTCACTCGCGATCGATCTCCTACCAGGCGCTAGAACAGCGCCAAAATCTCACATTTCCTCTTGCGATCTCGACCTGGTCGTTCGTCGAGGCTGTGCGATCCGCCCGGCGAGCGCTGGAGTCCGGCCGCTCGGCTGTGGATGCCGTGGTGGAAGGCTGCTCCACCTGCGAGAGATTGCAGTGTGATGGATCTGGTAGGTCGAATTTTTCTTGTTCTTGGCGTGGATTTTCAATGCTGTGGAAATATTTTAGTTGGCTATGGCGGTAGCCCGGATGAGAGCGGTGAGACGACGCTGGACGCGATGGTCATGGACGGGGTATGGTACGTCCCATCTCGATCCATTCCTGGGATTCTTTGGTTTTCACGAGAGATCTTGCAGACTACCATGAATGCTGGCGCTGTGGGATCGCTTCGTTTCGTCAAGGACGCCGCCATGGCTGCCAAGCTCGTCCTCCTCCACACCGAGCACACGCTCCTCGTTGGCGACCAGGCATCGAAGTTTGCGATCTCGATGGGACTCCAGGGACCAGTGAATCTCAGCACCGATGAATCGCTTGGCAAGACGCGATCGTGGGTGGGGAATTCATGCCAGCCCAACTTCTGGAAGGATGTGGTTCCGGATAGCAAGCTTTCGTGCGGACCTTATCACACTTCTCCGCCATCGCCACCTTTGGAGGCCAAGCTTGGGTGTGGTGGCGATTCCACGAGTTTGTCACGAGGAATAAGCTCTCACAACCATGACACGATCTCCATGGCAGCGATCGACAAGGCAAGTCACAAAAGTTCTTTCCTTTCTTTCTCTTGAGATTGATCGTTTTTATCAGGAAGGAAACATAGCAGTCGGGACTTCCACGAATGGAGCTACTCATAAAATCCCTGGAAGGTTGTGTTCTTCCGCTTTTCTCTCCTCCTCCAAACCTTTGAAAGTCTCGCTCTTGTCCATCCAGAGTTGGAGATGGACCGATCGCTGGAGCTGGAGCTTACGCTGATTCGGAAGTTGGAGCTTGCGGAGCCACTGGAGATGGAGACGTGATGATGCGCTTCCTCCCATGGTAACTCAACTCTCCTTCGATGGTTTGTCTAGATCGCTAGTGATTCTTCTCCGTTGAATCAGTTACCAGGTTGTAGAGAGCATGCGCCGGGGCATGACTCCTCAGCAAGCGGCAGACGACGCCATCGCTAGAATCCGGCGAAAGTACCCCGACTTTGTTGGAGCGCTCTTCGCGATTAACAGGCAGCTCGAGCACGCTGGTGCCTGCCATGGATGGACGTTCCGCTACTCCGTGTGGAGCAAAGGAATGGACGTTGTGGAGGTGATAACAGTGCTACCGAGCGATTGATCAAGTTCATTCCTGTGTTTGGGTGCTGTAAATCACAAACTTTAATCCATTGAAACCACAAGCTTGCAAAAACCGAGTCACCAGATAACACTGAGGCTTTCTTGCAGCCCATCTTCTATACGTAGGCCGTAGGCACGCAAGCGTTACTCTGGAGGTGGTGAACTACTGAGAGATTATGAATGCTCCCAAAGGAGAGAGAGCAAAACCAGTGTGTGCTGTTAGGCAAAAAAATCTCTTACACATTGATAGTACCTCGTTATTTGCGACGAGCAAAGAATGAGAATGTCCAATGCCTGTGAGAAGAAGAAAACCAAAACAGAGAGCTTGCTTAAAACCTGAGCTCAGATCACACACTGCAGACCTTGGTGACAAGCGCATCACCAGCCAAAATCGATGCCTCCAAAGCTTTTCTAGCGCCTGTGTTCCTCACTCTCTCGGAATGAACCCTGCGAAAATAAAAATCAACACTAAAAGGAAAGCTCGAGAAAAAACACGAGAAAAAACTTACTCTACCACTCCAATGCGTTTGAGCACACAGATCGCCGTCAGCGACACAAAGGTGTACATTAAAAGGCTGTTCATCACCGCCATGGTCTAGAGGCCACGACCGCGACCGCGACCGCGACAGCAAGCGCAACCGCGGCAGGCTTTCCATTCACCGCGGCATCCTCTCTGCGACCTTTCAGCCATCGTCTCCCACAAAAGGGCCTAACCGCCACGTGTCTGCCACGTTATAGGCATTAGAACACCAAAAAGATAGAACTTTCCCAAGAACTCCATTCCCTGAAAACTTGCGTTTAATCTGCGTCAAGAATGGCGAAAATTTCATGCCTGCCATACCCGCAAAACGAAAGAACGAAAAAAGAAAAGAAAAGAAGGATACCGGTTTGAAAAAAAACACCTTGTTATCATTTTGCTTGCTCAATAGATGGAAAGATCTGGGGGTGCTCCGTAAACTGTTGACCACGACAAAGGTATCCTCCAGTTCTTGCATTCCTTGCCTGCGTAAATGTGTAAGTAGTTAGCATGGTTGATCCAAGAACGATAGGACATACCATTGCAAGAATGGAAGAATCTATCGCAAGCGCTCGCGAGGAAGGTAGCGTCTGGGATGTTATCTCCTTCGGCACAGTAGCACAGCACTGACAGAACTTTCAAGCCTCTTTTCTGTAGCGGAAAACCAAGGCAAGGAAGATTTTAGACAGGTTTTCACCACTTTGAATGATAGAAGTACCTTGAAGGACGTGAACAGAGCAGTAACCGGCAGCCGCGAGAGGTAGTCTTGGTCATGCTCTCCGAATCTACCATCCATCGCATCTCTCAGCACAGAAAACTCGAAGGGCTCGGTGTGCTGACCGGATTGTTTCACGTCCAGCCAGCCTAGTCTCTCGCACAGCTCGTCTTTGCCATCTTCGCTGGCGCTGGTTTGATAGTAAACTTGAGGCCTGGAAAAGGAAGGAGAAACGCATTAGCAAGTAAAGCAAGAGGATCGGATCGTACCCAGCGTTGTGGAGAAGGTGTCTCTTTCCCGAGTCCAAGCCGGATAGCACGACGACGTTTTCAAATCCCTCACTCTTCGCCCAGTCGGCCAGATTCTCGGCAAACTTAAGCGTGGAGCCCTGAAGCATCTCATATAATCTCAAGTGATTCGTGAAAAAGTTCTAAGTCCTACCTTGACAAGAGGCGATCGCTGTTGCAAGACTGTGATATCACTGGCAGAATCCACGTACACTGCAAAAGCACAAGATAGCATGAGACGAGAAGAAGAAAAGAAGAGCAAGGAGGAAAAGAGGAGAACGAGAGATTCCTCTACTTCTCTCTTGAAACTTACATTCCATTGCGACTGCTAATTCGCCCCGAGGCTCGGGACCAAATGGATCATTTTCCACGCACGGCAACACATGAGGATCATCCAAGAATCCGACCCTGGGCATTCCATACGTCGAAATCAAGAGATCCACGGCGAGCTGGCCCGCATTTCCAATCGAGAGCGCCGGCTGATCGCAAGAAATCAGACAATAAGCGAGGCAAAGGCCTGGATTGAAACTCACCAGTACGAGCGCCTTGCGTCGCAGCCGAGCCCTGTCGCCACAAAACTCCATATGGACGAAGAACCCTAAAGTTGCAGGTTAACAAAAAATGGTTCAGGAGTTTTTAATCTCATCTTAGGTCAGATGGAGCGCGAGTGGCGACTCACGACTTAGTTACTCATCATCACCACTGAGCATCGAACCATGGACCTCTCAGTCCACAAGCCAACACCTTAACACTGAGCCACATGACTCAGCCTTGTGAAGATGCAACACATCAATACTTTTAAAGAGAACACTCGGGTTTAAAATTAGGGCTTTTCAAAACCAAAATTTCTCGTGCGTTTTTATGTTTAAAAGGTTAAAGAAGAAAGAGGGGGGGATTTTAGGAAATCGTCATCCTCCTTGGTGGTGTGTTTGGTGAGCTCCTGCTCCTGCTACTGCCGCTTGCACGACTGTATGAAGCTATGTGTGTGATCAATCACCACGTTGATGTGTTGAATCTACCCGCAAAACGAAAGAACGGAAAAAAAAATAAAAAAGGATATAAATTCCATCCAGTTTGAGAAAAAACACCTTGTTATCATTTTGCTTACTCAATAAATGGAAAAATCTGGCTATAGTGCAATTTATCTCTCTCCTCTTAATAGTTATTTTATCTTAATTAATCCCACAAGGTTCTAAGGATATATTTAAAACTGTGAGATGTCAATGTCTTCATCGAACAATTGAGGACAATTAAAAGTATATTATACTTTTTGGTAGCTAATAATTAATGGGAATCTAACTTATGCCATTTTCTCTAATATTAGAGTAATTTCTCTTTCTTTAAGCCACTTGGAAAAAGGGGCAATTGCTTTATAAAAGAGCTTTTAGTGGCTATTTTATCCCAACTTATCCCATAAAATTCTAAGGATTCACGATAATAGTATATCTAAATTTCATTTTCTAATCACATTCACTACATTATAAAATTGAAAAGTTTAAACTTTATAGTAAAAACAATGTGGCTATTGCTGCTATGCCAAATTTCCTATGAAGTTGAAGATGTTGCAAGCATAGAAGTCTAGAATGGGGAAAAATGTGTTTTTTATTATAAAAGTTTTGAATAATAGTGGATTTCATTGTGGAAAGTCTTGTCAATATGAATTTCATGATAAAAGCCATAATATTTAACTTATATTACTACAATATATGTCAACACATTTATGATTAGAAGTTTAGAACTAACCAAACCTGCCACTACCCCTGAGGCTTCAAGTTGCAACCCAAGTCGGAGCTAAATGGGAGTGAATTTGGAGTGAATAAATGTTCATTCCACTCTAATTCACACTGCAAGAACAATCTCTATTACACTTTACTTTAATATTTACTTTAACAACCACTGTAAACACCATTGCAACACACATGCATTCTGCACTTCAGCTTCATAAGCATGGGATGGCATCAATTATGCACTCTACTGCAAAATACTCCATGCCATGTTATTACTAGTATTTCTATGCCACATCACTAGTGCCACATCAGCCATTAACATGACTTTTGTTTTTGATAGATTGAGATGGTGTTAGTGCCATGTTGTTTTTGATGGAGATTGCCAAGTTATGTGGGTGAGCAAGAAAAGAGGCAAGGCAAGGAAAAAGAGGCCTTTCTTCTCGCATTTTCCAGTTAAGACGAAGATAGTTCCAATCCACCTGACAAAATTCCCAGAAAAAACCAAAGAATTTCATGAGTCAAAACTCATGACACTACCAAACCAATTCTCTGTTGTTATAAGCCACCATCATCTTAGTTGATCCAAACTTCTTTGGAAATATATCTTGTTTGAAGCTAGCTCTCCTCAATGCAAAGATTCCAGCAAGCAAGTACCATCATTTTCCTTTGATCGATCACCACCACTGTGTTCCTTGATTGACCACCACCACCACCATCTTCCTTCATAGACCATCACCATCATCTTTTTATTTCCTCGATCACCACCATCACCTTCCCTGATCGTCATCTTTTTCTTGATCGACCACCACCATCGTTCTCCTGTTTGCAGCCAGCTCTCCTTGATGCAAAGTTTCCGGCAACAGAGTCATCGTCTTTCTTTGATCCAGTCGTACACCTCCATCGCTGCTCGTACTTGACACTCGGATCCATCTCCTCAAACTCATGGGAGACTATGCAACGCCCGACTTCACCCCTGCTACCAACGACGAGCACATCTTTACCAGCAATCTTCCTCCTGCAACAGTCCTGGAGCTTACGATCCCTCAGTACGTTTTTCAAGGACTAGAGAGTTACCTGGACAGAGTAGCGATCGTGGACACAGACAGGATCCCACCCAAACAAAGCTGCCATGGCCGTGGCAATCCAGCCTTGGCAAGCAATTGCCACGGATTGCCCAGGCCATAGCAGCCATGGCAAAGGCCATGGATTGCCACAGCCATGCCACAGCTAAGGCCGTGGATTGCCACGGGCACAGCATTTTCAGCACTGCTGCCTGGAACGATCCATCCAGAATCTAAATTGTGCAAAGAGAGATCGCGAGGGAGATGTGTGATGCCAGAAATGGAGCTGGAATCCATGCAATAGAGAGCGATCATGGTAGTGTTCCTGAGGCACCACACATGACGGGGTTTGGCAAAAAGGGGTACTTGTGACGCACGCGAGAGATGCAGCTTGGTGAGGGTGAGCAGCATCACCAAGGCCCGGCTGCTCAAGCTCAATCTGTTTGGAGTACTGCACGAGCTCTAGAAGGCAAGCGGTTTGCCTTTCGGCGCATGGAGGAAAGACGCCTAGGGAACGTTGTTTGCTACAAACAGCATGGATAAAGGGACTAGAGAGAAGATAACTTTCATTGCATTCCATGTAGGTAGGTTCCCATGCTTCTTAGTTGGGCTATATATATATATATATATATATATGGTGGTAATGTTTCTGGTTGATAAACTGGATCTTGATCTCCTTGTTGATGTTTCCCAAGGCCCATGCGGTCAAATCACATGCGACAAACTCCAGAATTTAATGGGTAAAAGGGTAATTATTATTGTCATTAATAATGCTGAAGCCATTCACCAATGTACAACTGGATAATGCACGTTAAGGACAGCAAATGCAAAATTGGCTTACTTGACGAGGTCTCACAATCTTGTTGTCACGCAAGTCAAGGCATTCTTTCCAGTGTGCTAGGTAGCCAACAACACGAGCCAATGCAAACAGGAGTGGAAAGTTTCCTTGAAATCCAAGAGCTCTGGAATATGAAATTAATGCAGTTGAAAACATTTTCAAAACTTACTTGAAAACAATCCAAGAGTAAAAGTCGATATTGGGATAAAGTTTCCGCTTGATGAAGTACTCATCTGAGAGAGCGGCTTCTGCTAATGCGTCTGACACCTTTAAAGTTGAAATATAAGTGTCAGGCTTTTTCTGGTACTTTTTCTTTTCTAATATACTTACCTTGATGAGCGGGTCATGCCCTACAATCTCAAATGCATCCTCTGCCAGCTGCCGAATTACCTGAATAAAAGAAAGATAAGAAACTTTCAAATGTAAAAGTGAGCAAAAATTCAACCTTGACACGTATTTCATATGCCTTATGGATTCGATGGCCAAATCCAAACAACTTCTTCTTCTTGTTTTTTACAGCCTCTAGATAGGCTGGGATATTGTCGACGGTTCCAATCTCCTGAATCATGTTTGCACATGCCTACAACATAGTAAAAGTACCACATTCTTGCAATCAGGAAATTCCTTGCAAATTTTACCTCATTTGCAGCTCCGTGAAACGGGCCTCCTAGTGTTGCAACTCCTGCTGCTAAACAAGTGTATAGATCCACGCCACTGTTATTGAAAGAGGTAAAGTAACAGTTAAAGCTGTAGTCTTAAAACACTTGCCATGACACAAGGTGTCGTATAGCAGCAGATGAACAGCTAAGCTCATGTTCCATATGCACAATGAGCAGCCTCTCAAGAATGCGAGCCAATAGCGGAGAAGACCTGGGAAAAAGAGAGACCAATTTTCTTACAGCTTGAGTATATAAAAACTAGTGGAAGGTGACCTTGTTGGGCTGGTATTATGGAACATATGCATGTAGCGAAAGTTGGCAACGTATGGAAGCTCAGAAGATGGATTTGGCAGAACCATACCCTCTGCATGCTGGAATATATGTGCGATATAAATAGGTATCTGATAAACAGAAAGATATAATTCGGTAGCATTGAATAGCTAGAATTTCACCTGACCAAGTACGCGTGCAATGAGCTGGTCTTGGACATGTTTGTCCTGGTATGCACCCTAATTTCTAAACCATGTTAGAAAGCTGATGAGAAAGATGAAATTACAATATTACCACATCAGGCTGTGGGTAAAACGAAGACATGGAGCTAATAGCAGTTGCCAGCAACCCCATTGCGTGTGCATTCTTTGGCTGACTCTTTATCAGGCCCTGATAAAACGAAATATAAAAAAACGTATGATGGATCTCTTAAAATGTATGCTCACCAGAACTCCTTTGTGACAGCAAGTTTCCTTCCTGACGCTATCCTCAAATCTCGAAAGCTTGGCCTTGGATGCCAAATCTCCATAGACTGAAGCACGGAGTGACTTCTATACGTTATTTAGGCTGAAAAACTACTTACTTAGAAGGTAAGCAACTTGTAAGAATGTGCAATGTTGTGCAAGTTCCTCTACTGGGTAGCCCCTAAATTTGAGCGTCCCGTCATTCCCATTGGCGAGCGAGATTGCAAACTTGGTGACTGCAGTGTTGAAATATCCGGGGTCAAATAGCAGCAGATCACCATCTTGTGCTGTGGCCTGCATTCAAAACAAAATGACATGTCTAAAGACAAACATGCATTGCTACCTTGTTGACCATTTCTTTGGCCAAAACAATTCCACCCTGTTTGATCTCAAGCTCAAATTCAAGCCCTGTCCTGGTATCTGCAATTGTGAGTGAACCAGGGCCGCCACCCAGAGCTTGATGCTCATCCATGATGGTTTTGATATTCAGCTCTCTGAAGTTCTCTGCTCTATATATGCATACTCTAAACCAGGCGTGACATCGGGACATTGGGACATCAGGACATCGAGACATTGGTGCATCCTAACATGGATCACATGCTCATTGGCGTTTTCTATAAAAGCTGGCATCTGATAAAGCCAGCAAAAAGAACAATTCCGCCCTGCTTAATGTCAAGCTCAAACTCCCTGGTATCCTCAACTGTGAGTATAGCAAGACATTGGCGTTTTTTTATAAAAGCTGGCATCTGATAAAGCCTGCAAAAAGAACAATTCCGCCCTGCTTAATGTCAAGCTCAAACTCCCTGGTATCCTCAACTGTGAGTATATCAAGACATTGGCATTCTTTTATAAAAGCTGGCATCTGATAAAGCCTGCAAAAAGAACAATTCTGCCTTGCTTAATGTCAAGCTCAAACTCCATATCAAGACTATACTGGGCACCACAAGACTATAAACAGCATATAGATAGATAGAGAGCTATCAAGACATTGGCGATAACTTTGGAGACCTGCGTTGGAAACACACTCATGTGGCCCCACATGAATAATGTTAAAAAAGAGATGCCATAAATCCATTGCATTCATGTAGACAGGGTCCGTGCTTCCTCGTTGGGCACAAGGGGACCAGATAAACTTTTTGGAGGGTCACTTACACCCATCTTGATCTTGCGGACGGCTCAGATGCAAACTAAATGTCCCAAGTAGAATATTCTTTTCATGATTCATGTGATTCATGCCCATCCCGCATGCGCATGCTAGAGAGTGCAAGCGGCGTCATAGCGGCAGCAGCGTAGGCACTCTCGCGCCGCTTGCAGCTCAGCTGCCAAGCAGGCGGTGGTGGGCTGCGATCGTGGGCGCAGCGGCGGCAAGCTCAAGCGTGGGCAGTGGCGGCCAGTGGGCTCATGGCTCGGCAGCCATGGCAGCAAGCTGTGAGTGGACAGCACCAAGCAGTGAGCATGGGTAGCAGTGGGCGGTGGTGAGCAGCATGGCTAGTGGCTTGCTCATGGCTCGTGAGTAGGAGGCTGCGAGTTGTGAGCTGTGAGTGGGGTGCAAGCCTGAGCAGGGTGAGGCAAGTGCATGGGTGGGTTTGTGATCTACGTGGTGTGAAGAGGTGGCAAGGCAGTGGCAAGTTGCTGCAACGATGAGCTGCTAGTGAAGGTGTGGGCGTGGGGCTGAATTGTTGGTGATTAAGTTCATGTATATGTCTTATGCACAGCATATGAGGTGCATGGCATCGGCATTATATGGGCATGTGTACGCTTTATGTTTTCTTGAACTAACTAAATATCCAACTACAAGCACATCGCTTAAGCAAACTTGTAGATAATAATAGATATACTAAGAATATGCTTGGATATTTTAGGTATTATTCATTTAGATTAATCTTGTATTTACAATTTGTAAACATGTTTATAATTTATAAACTTTTCTAAACACCTTATAGAATATTCCCATCTAATGGTAATCTTGTTGTTATAAATATTTTTATAATTAAAAAATTTCTTAAATAGGGTTTATTTTGAGTAAACATTCTTTTATTAAAACAGTTATGTAATATTTAAAATAAACAAACAAACCAAATGTAATGCATAGAAATGTTTTTAGTAGATCTAAACATAACTTTATAAGCTCAAAATAAAAACTCAAAGCGTAAAGGGGATTGTAGAAAATTTATAAACTTTAACAATCTAAGTCTTATTGTAGACATTTAGTTGCACATTAAGTTTGTGTTTGTTTTTCATTGGAGATATGCTATTGTTAAGAATGCTTAAAATGGTAGGAAGAAGTAAAAACAAGACTAGAGATATTTTTATATATAAAGTTGATACTAGTGTGTCAATTCGATCAAATAAATTATCTGTATCATGCCAATAAAACAATTCCAACCCATGAAAACACTAGTATTAACTTTATACATTCTTGTTTTTTCTTCTTAGCATTTTAAACAACGAAAGTATTCTTAGCAATAGTATATCTACCACTGAAAAAACAAACACAAACTTAATATGCAACTTAAAGTTCATAAATTTTCACAAGTTTTTATTTTGAGCTTATGAAGTTATGTCTAGATCTGCTAAAAGAATGTGTAACAGTTTGTTTCAGTTCTGTAAACTTAATGTCAAACTAAATATCCTAAACTTAATGTTCCACTCGCAAATACATTTAGTTTACATCTGAACTGTCTCGAAGATCGGGTTGGGACATGGCGGGGGGGGGGGGGGGGGAGGCAGGAATGTTGTGCTTGCCTACCTGCCTCCTCTGGCTGGAAAGCCTGCAAAAAGCCTGCAAAAACAGCTGTTTGATGTCTTTTGTAAAAGCTTGCATCTGATAAAGCCTGCAAAAAGAAAAAGATTGAATGAAAAGAACTAACAGATCGCTATATAGCACATGTACATTATTACATAAATATGCAATTTTTTATTCTCTAAGAGTTTTTATTATTCACGTTGGTTGTTGTGTCTAGCTTGAAGAAACCATGGCAGCTCCCCGTCAATCCCGGAAAATTCGCATCATCCATCACAGGAATGGGCTCCCATACCAAAAGGATGTATTTGAACCAAGCTGTCTCAAGAGTTCCGACTTCTCCAAGGCATGCTTCATTTTTTCGTTGGTGCAATTAAAAGACAACTTCATGTTCTTGTTCCTCTTCTCGCAGATCAAGGCTGGCGGAGATGGCAAGGGATTGAAGCTGTATGATCCGGGATTTGTGCATACAGCTCCCGTGAAGTCCACCATTGCATTCATTGATGGGAGGAATGGGATTTTGAGATATAGAGGATACTCCGTGGAAGAGCTTGCGGAGAGAAGCACATACTTGGAGGTGGCATATTTACTGTGTAAGTATACATCTTTTCAAGAAAACGGATAAATCTTTTGTGGAACAGGTAAGGAGAATCTCCCCACGAAGTCCCAGCTTTCTGAATGGGAAGCTGCAATCCAAAGGCAGTCCTCAATGCCAGAAGAGCTTCTGGCAAGCCACTACAGCTATGAGAGAGTGTTGTTGTGACACAATTTTGTTTTGCAGGCCCTTATTGACGCTCTTCCTCGAGATTCTCATCCAAAGCAAAACTTTGTCACAGCCTTGTATGCCCTCATTTCATTCAATCCAGATGCAAATCCTCTAGTGGCGGTGAAGCTTTAATTTTTTCCTAGTATACAATCTTTGTCTTTGTACAAATGCAGGGACATGATCTGTACAAAACAGAAGCTGCACAAAACCTGCACATTATTCGTATAATGGGAAAGGTGATGTCTCATCCATCAATAATACATGTTTTTGGGGTCCATTGGCGCCCAGCTGGAGGCATTTTTGTTAAAATGTGCCTTTTCAGGCTGCTAGCTTGGCAGGCGCAATCTACGTTCATATGGAGGGTCAAAAGCCCATTAAAAATCCGAACAATAGTCTCAATTTTTCTGAAATGATTCTTTATATGTTCCATTCAATGTGAGCATTAAGCAAAATTTCTTGCTTTGATTTCAACTGCTTTCTGCCTTCAGGGGAGATCAAGACTTCAAGCCAAATCCCGCACTTGCAAAAGCTTTGGATGTGATTTTTATAATATTGGCTGAGCATGAACTTGGTACAGCAACAGCAGCAACTTTACACCTTGCATCAAGGTGCGTTTCTTTTGGTGTAATTTTACTGTCTGCTTTCTACTAATTTTTCAGCAGTGGAGTGGATGTTTATACAGCAATTGCTGGAGGCACTAGTGCATTATCAGGGCCCAATGATATAGGGGCGGTTGAGGTAAACGACTATCAAACACTAGGATTTTCTGAATAAAAGTTATGATTTTGTTAAGGCTGTTTTGGACATGCTCAATGAAATTGGAAGCATTGAGAATGTTGCATTCTACATAGAAGAAGCCAAGAAAAGGTATGAAGAAAATTAATAAAGTATATTATACTAAATTATTTTTACTAACAGTAACACCAAACTACCTGGAATTGGCCACCGTGTATACAAGACATATGATCCTCGAGCGAAGGCAAGTGTAACAATGGCCTTTCAAAGTTACTTGACAATGTTTTAATAATGCAGCTCATTCAAAAGCTAGCAGAAGAGGTTTACGACATGGTTGGCAAAGATCCCCTGGTAGAGGTGTAATTTACATTAATAGACTTCTATTCCAGAGCCTTATGTTTTGAGTGATCAGGTTGCAGCTGCATTGGAGAATGCCATTATTGCCGATGAGTATTTTATAAACAGAAAACTGTATCCTAATGCCACCTTTCACTTGGGCCTCTTGCTTAGGCAAGTAGTTTTGCATATTCACTGACATGGTTTCAAGACATGCTTTGATGTACAGGGCTCTTGGCTTTCCTAAACAATTTTTTGTGGTTCTTGTCTCTATTGCCCGGATTGCTGGTCAGTTGGCACACTGGAAAGAGTCTATGAATGACCCGTCAACTAGGCTGATGAGGCCACAACAGGTGAGTAAAAATCTCTACTCTTTTATAACATTCATTCATTCATATTCTGTTTTTACATGGTCACTGCTTTTTCTCTTGCAGTGGTACACTGGGCAAAGGCTTCGCCATTATTCAAAGTAATTATTTGTTTAAAAAATTTGGAACATGTGCTTGACATGTCTTGGAATTTACCCCGGTGGTGAGGATTTGCAAGAAGTAGAAGAGTTTAAAGTCTCAGCAGCGCCCAGTGGGGCATGGGACCCCGTTGCATGGCAACGGCGACAAAGGAAGAGGAGAGCGTGGCTTTCGGACTCCTACTTCGCTGGAAGTGACGGGTCTCTTATCCTTGTTGTGTTGGCGTGTCGGTCGGGAAAGCTGGAGCAAAGAAATTTCCCGGTGAGTGTGGCATTTTCATAAACAGAAGGATTACAATAAATAAACAGACAAGATAGATCTTCTTAATAGAATTCCATGGAGGAGCTTTCCATGGAGGAGCTTGCTTCTTACAAAGGGCATATAGTAGCCTTCCCTTTGCCACTCCAAGGCCATATCAATCCCATGCTCATTCTCTGCAAGGCCCTAGTGTCACTGGGCTTCTCCGTGACATTCGTCAATGCAGAGAGCAACCACAAGCGCCTCCTTGCTCACATTTCTGCCGCTCCAAGCACAGGAATCGACTTTGTTCCCATTCCCGACCACCTTGACACGCCCATCGCCACTGTCGACGTCCACAACAGCAACAATCTGCTACTCGTCCGCAACGCAGTCCGCAAGATGCGTGCTGACTTTGAAAGCGCGCTTAAGAACATTGTCAGCAATGTCAAGGTGGAGTTTATTCTCTCGGAAATGACTGTAGATTGGACACAGGGAACTGCGGATAAGTTCGGCATCCCCAAGGTGACACTTTTCACTGAGAGTGCAGCTTCACTTTCGATCCAATATCACATTCCAGAGCTCCTTGCCAAGAAACACGCTCCTGTCCGACAAGGCTGTCCAGGTATGATTTCAGCATCGTTGTTGCATCGGTGTTCGACCCTGAAACTTCTGTTTTATAAATTTTAGATCTGCAGAGTATCGACTACTTCTCGCTTAGTGCTCACGCCGAGAAGTTGGATCCGGGATTTGCACAAAGGGTCGAAAGGAAAAAAGTTTTGTTCAAGGCAAAGTGCGTTGTGGTCAACTTTTTTTACGCTCTCGAGCACGGAGTCTTCGCCGGTCTCCGAGCAAAATTCCATCAGACCGTGGTTCCAGTTGGTCCACTGCTGCCTCCCGCTTTCCTGGGAACCGAAAACGGGTCAAATAAGCCTACCACCTTGCCAGGTATGTGGCCTGCGGATGACACTTGCAAGCAGTGGCTGGACCATCAGCAAGATGGCACAGTTTTATACGTTTCTTTTGGGAGCAATGCAACTCTCACAATGGATGACTTTGTTCGACTTGCAAGAGGGCTGGGGCTGTGCAAGCAGCTGTTTCTATCAACTTTAGTCCCGGGTTCATCCTTGGACGAGCTTTTGAAAGTGGTGAGGAGAAATTCCGTATACGAAGGACAGTCGTGCACTGTTTCTTGGGCACCACAGCTACAAGTCCTATTGCATCCAGCTGTTGGCTGGTTTGTCACGCACTGTGGATGGAATTCGACGCTGGAGAGCATCTGTGCGGGTGTCCCCATGTTGTGTTGGCCTCTGACGGCAGAGCAGAATCTGAATTGCAAGTTCATTGCTGACGAGTGGAAGATTGGTGTCAGATTGCTGGACGACAGTCGCTGCATTGAAGAGGTGATAACGGGGGTTGTGGACAGCCAAGGACGCAGCCTGATGAAAACGAAAGTTAAAAAGTTGAAAGAAGCGGCCATCAAGGAATCCAAACTGATCTCTAAGACCATTGATGATGCTCTCAGCTCTAAATCACGTTCTTAATAAGAACTTGGGCAGTTGATATCAAAGTGTTACGTAAACAGAAATTCAAAATCCATATTTGTGCGCTCACTGAAGAAGCCAAAGATGCCAGCTCTTGAAAGGGGAGCTTATTATCAAAAAAAATGTCAGGAGCAAAAAATTGAATTGCAAGATAGATTAAGTGAATCTAATGAAGTTCAATTGATGTTTAATCAAACTGGTGGAACATGTACCAGCAGTAAGTCATTTGAAGGCTCTCTGTCATAAGCCTTCTCACAAAAATGTTGCCTTTGCTGGCTTGTGAGTGTGGGCAGCACACTGGAGGAGCTGAGGACCACAATGTGCTTATGGATATATATTTTTTTCTATATATAGTTTATACATTTGTGTTCCAAGATGATTTTTTAAAATATAGTTATAAACCTGTAGTGGTTCTGTGAAGAATGTTTGCAATTAAAAATCAATCTGGTTATAGGGGGTCTTTTATAGGGGTTTTGGAAACTAATATGAACCTCAGATTAATCTAAGTTAAACATAAGTTAAACATTGTGGCTTTCAGTGTAAATGCCACTCAAAGTGATTTGGTCATGTGAAGACTTTAATCCAATGTAAAAATTACTTTCATAATGGCTAAGAATTAAAAGCATTTTCTATAGTAAATTATAATAATGGAAAGTCTAAGGTAACTAAATTAAGCTTATTATAACATAATTTATCTCTTTCCCCTAAGCCTGTTGAAAAAAGCTTAAAAACCCTTTGATGAAATAGCCTTTAATGACTATTTTTTCTCTATTTATCCATAAGGTTTTAAAAATTTAAATCTCAATTTATTATTACATACACTACACTTACCCTCTGTTCAAGATGTTAATGTCCATGGAACACTTCCATTTTCATCTATTCATCCGTATTGTAATTCTATGGTGGATTAATGTTGTCATTGATGAAAGAGAATTAACACCTCCATTTCTACATTAAATCTACTAGTTCTTCTACTATATAAATTAGTCCCATAATTCTCCCTTTAAACCAATTGAAAAATGCCCTTTAAGCCAACTAAAAAAGCTTAAAGGCCCTTTGATGAAAAAGCCCCTAAAATTCTAAAAATTCACAGTGATAATATATTTAAATTTCAATCGATAATCATATAAATCACTCACCCCCTTTTCAAGATGTTAATGGAACACCTCTATTTCCATCAATCTATCTGTATTGCAGTCCCACAGTGAATCAATGGAACCCTTATTAAATTAAGGGGAAACAATACCTCCATTTCTACATTAAATCTGCTAGTTCTTTTACTATATAAATTAGTTTTATAGTAGATCTTTTGATAAACAAAACCGTATTGTAGTTTCATAGTGGATTAATGGAACCTTTATTGAGCTAAAGGGTTTTATTTCTACATTAAATGGAACCCTTATTAAGCTAATTGCAATTTTACAGTGGATCAATAAAACCCTTATTAAACCAAGGGGAATAAACATTTCTATTTCCATATTAAATCTACTAATCCTTCCATTATATAAGCTAATGCATTAGTAAGGTTCCATTGATCCATAATGGGATTGCAATACAAATTTATTTATTAAACATCCATTATCGAAAGTTTTACTATAAAACTAATTTACATAGTGGAAGGATTAGTAGATTTAATGTGAAAATGGATGTGTTAGTTTTCCTTTGCTTAATAAAGGTGCACCATAAGACTGTGGTATGACTTTGTTTGTTGGACATCTACTATTATAAGGTCCACTATAAGACTAATTTACATATTGCAATCCTACTGTGGATTAATGGAATCTTTATTAAGCCAAAAGGAACTAACACCTCCTTTTCCATATTAAATCTACTAATCCTTCCACTATATAAACTAATTCCATAGTTAAATCTCCATTGGAAAGCTTGCGGGAATCCACCCATTTCCACAGAAACGGATCTGGATTTTATTACTCCACCATCCCGCATAATAATGAATGTTTAACAGATAAAGCCATACTATAGTTTTATGGTGGATCAATAGAACTTTTATTGAGACAAGAGGAACTAACACTTCCATTTTTTGCATTAAATCTACAAGTCTTTACACTATGTAAACTATTCTTATGGTAAATCATACTATAGTCCTCCAGTGGATTAATGACCCTCTACATTAAATCTATTAATCCTTCCACTATGTAAACTAATCTTTAATGACCCTCTACAGTAAATCTATTAATCTTTCTACTATGTAAATTAGTCTTTATTGAGCCAAGGGGAATTAACACTTCCATTTTTGCATTAAATTTACTAATCTTTCCACTAAATAAATTAATTCTATAGTGGATCTTTCGATAGTGGATATCTAACAAACAAAAAATGTACAATATATTATTTTTATAATTATTATTATACTTTTTGGTAGCCACTAATCAATGAGAATCGAACCATGAAAAAAGGGCAATTACTTAATAAAAAAGTTTTTAATACTTATTTTATCACAATGTTTCAAAAATCCGTGATGATAGTATATCCAAATATCAACTGATGATCATATACACTACACTTATTGAGTAGCTTATAATAGCTAAACTGGTAGCATCTGGGATGTTATCTCCTTTGGCACAGTAGCTCAGCACTGACAGAACTTTCAAGCCTCTTTTCTGTAAGGCAGGGAAGATTTTAGACTGGTTTTCACCACTTTGAATGAATAGAAGTACCTTGAAGGACGTGAACAGAGCAGTAACCAGCAGCCGTGAGAGGTAGTCTTGGTCATGCTCTCCGACTCTACCATCCATCGCATCTCTCAGCACAGAAAACTCGAAGGGCTCGGTGTGCTGACCGGATTGTTTCACGTCCAGCCAGCCTAGTCTCTCGCACAGCTCGTCTTTGCCATCTTCGCTGGCGCTGGTTTGATAGTAAACTTGAGGCCTGGAAAAGGAAGGAGAAACGCATTAGCAAGTAAAGCAAGAGGATCGGATCGTACCCAGCGTTGTGGAGAAGGTGTCTCTTTTCCGAGTCCAAGCCGGATAGCACGACGACGTTTTCAAATCCCTCACTCTTCGCCCAGTCGGCCAGATTCTCGGCAAACTTAAGCGTGGAGCCCTGAAGCATCTCATATAATCTCAAGTGATTCGTGAAAAAATTCTAAATCCTACCTTGACAAGAGGCGATTGCTGTTGCAAGTCACTAGCAGAATCCACGTACACTGCAAAAGCACAAGATAGCATGAGACGAGAAGAAGAAAAGAAGAGCAAGAAGGAAAAGAGGAGAAAGAGAGATTTCCGACCCTGGGCATTCCATACGTCGAAATCAAGAGATCCACGGCGAGCTGGCCCGCATTTCCAATCGAGAGCGCCGGCTGATCGCAAGAAATCAGACAATGAGCGAGGAAAAGACCTGGATTGAAACTCACCAGTACAAGCGCGCGTCGCACTGTCGCCACAAAACTCCATATCGACGAAGAACCCTAAAGTTGAGGCAAGGCAAAAGATTGACCAGGCTAAGAAAAATGGTTCAGGAGTTTTGGATTTCATATTAGATCAGATGATGGCGACTCAAGACTTAGATACTCATCATCACCATTAAAGCATCGAACCATGGACCTCTCAGTCCACAAGTTCAACACCTTAACACTGAGCCGCATGGCTCAGTCTTGTCAAAATGTAACACGTCAATAACTTTACTCGGGTTTTTAGGGTTTAAGGTGTTAAAATTAGGGCTTTTCAAAACCAAAATTTCTCGCGCGTTTTTTATGTTTAAAAAGTTTAAAGAAGAAAGATGGGGGTATTTTAGAAATCGTCGTCCTCCTCCTCGGCGATGTGCTTGGCGAGCTCCTGCTCCTGCTGCTGCCGCTCGCGCCGCTTCTCGGCGCTCTCCAGCTCCTTCTTGTGCGCGTTGGGCGGGAAGCGCAGCGCCTTGACGGCATCGTTGTAGGTGTTGAGGCAGAAGGCGATGCGCGAGTGGAAGGCGAGCTGCGGCTCCTGCGTCGAGTAGATGTCGCCCGTCTCGCGCGACTGCATGAAGCCGCGCGCGTGGTCGATCACCGCGTCGATGCCGCCGTCGCGGATGGCCTTGGCCACCATGCTCTCGGCGTCGCTCACGGCGCTGTCGGACGAGAGGTGGAGCTTGGCGGCCACGTCCGCCAGCGAGATGCGCGAGTAGGAGATGCTGATGTTGCGCAGCCCCGTCCGGATCACGTTGTGGCGCAGCCGGACGATGAGGTTGTGCGTCTTGTCTCGCGAGAAGATTGGCGAGAAGTTGTCCGCCACGGATTTAAACAGCTCCAGGTCTCCAATGCGAACAGCCTGCCAAACACAAGCACTCTAATCAGTCGAAGAACAATGCAAAGAAGAAACTTTGCACAACCAATCTGCCAAACAAGCGCGAAGAACACAATCCAAGTTTTTACGTACGTTTGTTAGCTCGAAGTAAGGGCGGAGCGCGGCCTTCATACCCCGTTGCATGAACGTTGTCCTCTCCGGAATCTCGCCCAGGAGAAGCCTCACGATCACCGCCCACTTGTTGCACTGTATCCGGAAGTCGTGAGCGATTGTCGGTGCCTTTCTCGCGGCCTGCATCAGCGAGTCTTTGGCATCTGTGTACTCGAGCTGAATAGTTCTGATCTTCCCCAGGTAAAAGAGGTAGCGGCAAAGCTGAGGAAACGGTTTGGATGTTAGGCAAGGGCAGAAAATTTATTCTAGTCGATGAACCAGACCTGCTGATTCGCGTGCGACTCCGCTCTTTGCGACTTTGAGCGGAGCTTCTCTGCTTGATCGTACAGATTGTAGTGAAGGTAGTTCCGTAACAGCAGGTTTAGTAGAGTTTCCTGTCAGGAGAGCTGTTGAGCAGTCACGAACAAGTCACAAACAACACTTACCTGTCCCAGCTCGTCGTGGCGAAGTGTAGCAGTCTGATGCAGAGAAAGAAGTGTCCTGGAAACCATCTGATTAGAAGCCAGTATATGCTGAACGCATGGAATACCCCCGAATATCAGCCAGTGAATCGATGCATTCGTAGCTGAGTGAGTAGTAGAAATACAGTCTCGAGGCCAACACATCCAGAGTCCTCCGGTTTAGCTGCTGCAATCTCTTGATGCCGGCATCTGCACAAGCTTTCGCCTATGGAACAAGATTAGAAATCCTGCTGGCTGGAAGGAAAAAGAGATTCGTTCACCTGTTTATACTGTTTCTGATCGTGCAAGTAGATGAGAACAAGGAGGTAGCATAGGATTTCCAGCTCCGGGAGTACGTTCGGCTTATTGGAAACTTGCGACGGCATATCAACTTCCATCGACACCTTGTCCTCCTCCTGCTGCAAATAGAACAAAGGTCTCAGAGAACGCAAGGAAAGTTCTTGGAGCTAAGAAGAAAAAAGAAGAAGAAACACCAGACCAGAAGAGAAACACATGCCAGCATACCTTCTTCACAAACTGGAGCACTGAGTCCGCATCGGTGGACATGACATACTTGACAAACGCGGCAAGAGACCCTGGCTTGAGCTTCCGCTTTATGACCATCACATTCCGAACAGCACGAACCATGAGCCTCATCTCTTTCGTGCTCACGCCCTTCTCCACCAGGGCCGCAATGCTCTTCAGATCTACACGAGAGCTCGAGAGATTGGTCTCTAGGGCTAGGAAGAAAGAGGAAATGCACGAATCTTACGCGAGAGAAGCGACGGCCCGGCCTGGTCCTTGCGATCCGGCGACGACACCGCCGGCGCCGCCTCCTTCATCTCCACATCCTTGCTCTTGGGCGCCGCGGGCTCGGCCTGCTGCTCTGGAAGCGCTCCCATTCGATTACCCTAGATAAAAGTTTTTAGGGTTCTTCTGGCATTTTAGGGTTCTTGAGCTATGAACAAGTTCAATGCCGCGCAGCGCAATCTCCAGCGCGATAGGCGCCACAAGAAGGCTCAGGAGAAGCGATTGAGGCTGGGCCTGCAGTCGCTCAAGCTGTCCAGGCAATCGGCGTCGCGCACCCCATCGGGCAAGCGGCAGCGCAAGTTAGACAAGAAGCTGCGCCGGGTATTCTTGTGAGGGCTTTCAGGGATTTCGCTGAGCTACTACTGAATTGCAGGCGCAGAAGGAAGTTTTGGAGAGCGGGCTCGTGTCGGTGCAAGACATTGAGATGATCTGTGCAGGTTTCTCTCCAGCTTCAGTGATATTTCTTTCTTCTCTGATCCTCTTCTTCCTAGATTCGGCTCCTGACGCGCCAGCGGCCTCCTCCAAGGGATTTTCTCTCAAGCTGAAGAAGCAAAGGAAGCTCAAATTGAAGAAGAACAAGCCTGGTAAGCAAGCTCTCTCGATTTCTCGTGTTCTTCATCCTCTACATTCATCCCTGTGGCAGCCAAAGCGAGCATCGATGCTGAATCCACGCCACAAGCGATGATCCAGTAGATCCCTTGTAGCGATGTTTGTGATGAATAGAGAAGGAAATCTTTTTCTTGTAGCGTCTCTTTGTCCAGGGTTTAGGGTTCTTAGTTTGTGGAATAAATGGAGCCGTGGGAGCGCCATGCCGCTGGCGCTGGAATCAAACGCTTCTCATACGCTGCTATGGCGGATAATCCCCGCGCTGGATTCCTCGTCACTTGCGCATTTCGTAAGTGATTGATCGATTCTTTGCTTCAGATGTAGAGATTTTTTTCAGGACGCGAGAAGAGTGCTACCAAGGAGATAATGGACATTCTTCCTCAGGTATGAGCTTTCCATTGTAGAAGAGAAAACTAACAAAGCTTTGCTTTGTGCTGTTCTTCTTTTAGTACATTGGAACTTCCAGCAGCATTCCTGGAGACGAGACCCCGGTGAGAGCTGTTCTTTCTCTTGATCTGGAGTTTTTACATGAATTGTAAGTGTAGAAGGATAACGAGGACAAGAGCACTGCTTCTCCGAGCGGCGTTTTCTCGCTTATCAAGCTCTCCGGTAGCGGCATTGTCTTCCTTTCGACTCCAGATGATACAGATGTTGTGAGCGTTCTATCACGAGTTCTAGACGACATAAGAGCTCCACACACGAAGCCTTTCTCGTAAGTTTTCGCTTTCTCTCTGACCTCTAGGATTTATTTCCTCTTTTGAAGGTGGTGTAACAGGCTCACTCCAGTGCAGGCGACGTGCGCATCAGAGGAGGAAGCCATCTTCGTCACAGTTCTGGGGCTCTTGAGAGACGACGCCGGAGGAATCGTCTCAAAGACCGGAAGAAGCAATCTCAAGGTAATGACCATTAGAGAGTTTGCTCTCTCGTCACTTAGCTTTGTGCAGTACGCGGTGGGATTCAACAGTAGAGCTGCCGAAGATGGCAACACTGGCGTGGAGCGAGACGGGTGCATCGCAGCAGTGGCAAGAGCCATGCAAGAATTCGAGCAGCAGGCCTCTGTCAACTTGTCGAATCCAGAGGTAAGATCTCTCAATCTTTGGAGGAATCTTAATAGTTTCTTCATCGTAGATCGTGGTGGCCGTGGAGCTGATTCCTCTGGTTGGAAAGACTACTCCTCTGGCTGGAATTTCTTTGCTGCCCAAGGAAGTTGTAAATGCGAAGCCTCGGATTTCCATCAAGCCCTTGACATCTTTCAAGAAACAAAAGCTTTGTTAGAGTAATACAAACATACGATTTTAAAGCACGAACCCTAATATAAGCTAGGGTGATGGCGGCTTCTTCAAAGCCAACGCTGGTTCAGCTTGCGATTTGGAAAGGAAGATGAATGCTTATCAAGGAGTCTTTGGCATACCAGAGTGGAGGATTGGAATTTCCCATGGCTGTATGTTACTAAGAGACCAGGGCTGGATGAGTTCTTGGCTGCTATGGTAGAAATTTACACCATAGTAATCTACACGAGGTCAATGACTTTCCATGCACGATGGATCGTGGATGAAGTGATTGATCCACATGGTAAGTTTATATCAAGATTGTATAGCAGACGCTTTTGTCAGGACGTAAAGGACTTGACCCGCTTGAAAAGAAACGCAAGGAGGATGGTATGGATAGATGATCAACCTGTGTACCCTCGACAGCCGGAACTTGGCATTCAGGTGCCCATGTATATGCCGCAAAAGTCAGTGGATAAGATTGGAAGGAGTGCGAAAACGATCGCACGCTTGTGGAATTGATCCCGTTCCTGACTGCGCTCGCCAAGCTAGATGATTTCTCCATGGGAATTGCAGCCTACAAGCAAGGGAAGTTTGATGGCGAGAAATTTAACTTGGACGAGGTGATTTTGGGGGATGATGCCGTGGAGGATGTTTTTGAAGATGATGATAAAGCAGTAGAAGAGAAAGAAGAGAGGGTGAAAGCCGAGGAAGAGAGGCTGAAAGCCCAGCAGGAGCGCGAGAAGCTCGAGGCGGAGGACAAGCTCTTGACACCCGACTCATCAGGACCACTTTGGCGGTACATAGTCAACTTTATCCCTGAGGACAAGCTGAGTCGATCAAAGAAGCTGGCAGCCCACGAGTACATTAGCAAGAAATTCAAGAGCGACGACTATAAGTGTCTGATTGCACTGTTAGCCAGGAAAAAGCATCTCATAGATGACTTGAATTGCCTCGGGAATCTTTCTGTCAACTCCAAGGCCGGGTACTATGATGCCCTAGTGCAAGTGTTTCACGGCCTCGAAGGTCCATGGGACCTTGAATTCATCCTGCCAGTTCTGAGAAAGGTGACGTGCAATTACTTCTACTACGGCAAGGGCATGCAGGTTACATGCTTCAACAGCGAGAAGCTTTGGGACTTATGCAAGACCACCATACCTATGCTTGACACACTGCAAGAAATCCGCTTTGACGAAATAATTCCCATGGTTGCGACTCTGAATTTCCTGAGGGATGAGAACCTCTTGGGCATTACAGTACCTGACTGGTTTCAGCCATGTAGCAGCTGGATGTGGTGGCCTCACTTCGTGACCATTGACTTTGAGAGGTAAAATTCTTTTTGCTACTTTTGTGTTGTTAACTTTTGTGCTTGACAGGAGCTTGCTAAAAGGAGAACTTGGCCAGAAACTCGCTACGAGCGACACAAAAGGCCTCTTGGGGAAGCTATCGTCCGCCTCTTGCCGGATAGTTCCGGGTAAGGAGAGGGATTTGTGCTACAAGAAAGACGAGGGGTTACAAGCAGGGATGGATTTCTTCGCAACACCATTTGAGGAATCAAAGAACAAGTTTCTGGTGTGTGACAAAAATCTGGTTCTGTTTAGGCTACAGTTTGTGGATGGGCAAGTTGTAAACTGCGGGCTCTGGCTGATGACGGACTTCAATTCGGAGCAAAATGCTCGAGAGATGGCAGCTAAATTGTGTGCTGATCTGGGCTTGAAGGTTAACCTGGGGTTAGATTATAAACACAACGTGGAAAAGATGAAAACGAGCATGGAAGAGATCACATTGTTGGTTCTTCAGCAAAGAACATGATGCCATTGTAAATCTTCAAGCTCCTGTTACTGTGACGTTTTGCCAGTGAAACAGAAAAAGAAGAAACGTTTTCTTTCGAAGATTGTATAGTTTTTGAAAGCTAGGAAGAGTCAATCTAAAACCTCCCAATGAATGATATCAAAGCTTGAGAAGTTTCTCCTCTGGAGCTCTAGCCAAAGTTAAGGTACTTCCTTGGGACGAACAAGTTCGCTGCTGCAAAACAAAACTAAACCCAGGCCGAGATTCCCTGGGAGAACACCACTTCCCGCTGAAAGTTCCAACGCAAGACAGCAGTTCCCTTGGCCATTGTTTTTTTCCCACGACAGCTTCAAGCCCGCTGCGAAGACCAGATTGGCCTGCACCCTGTTCAGGTTCCAGGACCAGCTGAAGAAAAGGATTTGACCATCTCGGAATCCTTGTTTCATCACAGATCTAGCGCTCGTAGAGGTAAAACCATCTCCAACTTATGCTCGTGATAAAGTGTTCGAGAAACCAGGAACAAACTCACAGAGTGAAGCGAGCTGTGCACAAAGCCGCCACACCTCGGCATCTTCAGCATCTCTTGAGCGCGTGCTAGCCTTTGTTTCAAACTTGATGGTGACTGGGACAGCCCAAGCTCGCTAATCATCAAGAAGTCTAAAACAAAATCTACCATTTCAGGTGAACGTTTAATATGACTTGCATAGTCCATTCCCTAGCTCCAGCATGGCAATTCTGGTAATTAATTTAATTACATTAAAATAAAATTTAGAAAATTGAATAAAAAATATAGGATAAAATACAATAATTGCTACTTGTAGCAACACTTGGTTTGGTCCTTTTTTTTAAAACATCATTTACTATAATATATGCATGGATATTTCTTGGAGGGATATTTTCTAGTGGACAAGACTGATCACCACATACCAAGATCAGGGAATCCGATTGTTGTGAAAGCTTTCTCCTATATATATACTTCTAACTCTTCCCTCATTAAGTAGTTTATGTAGTTATTTTTGTTAAATCTAATATGTATATGCAAGTATGACTTTCAAGTTCTAACAAGAAAGTATATATACACTAATATGGAATAGAAAATATTCAGTAGAATCTCCTATGTTTATTCTGTTTGGGAAGTATGGCAGTATGCCATTTTGCACATGTAAATGGCACATAATATATATATAAATTTCCAATTGTTAGATTGGAAAAGCATATTCTTAGGTTGAGATAAATCTGTTGGAGTTTCTGATGAGAACATTCCTTATTATAAAATACCACATTGGGTACCTATTCTTATTAAGACTTATTAATGCAAAAGAAAATTTCTTAATTTCCTAATTTCCAAATGTATAATAGGAATAGTGGGTAAGTCGGGCATGGCAAATCAACTTGAAGCATGCTCCCACTTGTGTGTCTACCTTTGTTTTGCAATCAATTTATATCCAAGACCAAATTCCATACTATGTTAGCTGATGAAGTATTTATATCTTTTTATTAGACCACCAGTATTCTAAAATAACACTAAAATTTATTAATTCCATTCTGCATATTAGTCTTAATGTGGGGTTGTTAGTTACTCTAGAATTGTTCCTATATCACTTCATGCTCTTATCTTTTCACTCTTTGGGCTAAATCTTGGGAGCTATTTTATATGTCAATTGTTTTATTCCTTGGTTGTATGGTTGGGAGTTTTGTTCTGTCCTTTTGTTTAGTGGCTAAAATTTGAGTTTCACTTTATTATTCTTGAACATGTGGCCCAAGAGTTTGGATTCCACCTTGTGATTATTCTATGGTAACTTACCATATGATAAAGGGTGAAAATCACGTGCACTCCCCCTCTTGTTAAGAAAATTTCTTGACAAGTCAAAATATTTCCTAATGGCTTAATTTTTTTCTATCAATAGTATGGAAAATTCTCTTGTCAGCAAAATAAACCCTAATATAATTGCCTGACATACACTAGTTTTCCCATTGGAAGCACTTATAAGGACTTATTAATAGGTCTAATTGTCACGGT